TTCATCTGCCGCTTAATCTGGTTCGACTATTTGGGCACTGAGCTACTCTGGTTGTCGTCCATTTGTAGTTTGTATAGGTGCTAATGCTGGCTTGGTCAAGCTGGAGAACTAATTTAGCAACTGATTCGCAAACCAACTGCCAAGCTCGGTGAACAGATCATCAGCCACCTGATCGATTACCAACTAGTGAACTGGAGCTACCAACACTCCAGCAAATTACCAACAATATTTTATTTCAAGATCTCCTATTTCCTTGTTTTCTTTCAAAACTCCCGAATGAGCAATCTGAGTTCTTTGGTCGACTAATACATATCCACATTATTTTCTTTTCAACCCACAGGATACAGCAAGCAGCTGGTGCCAGTAGCAAAAATGCTGTCTCTTGACGGCTACGCTACCTAGCTGGCTTCTATCTGCCACCGTTCATTGGTGTTATATTGCGTAAGGTTCGTAAAGTGTCCTGAGTCAGTCGCCTCAACTGCGTCCTACTCAATCACGATGAACATATGTCTTTAGGTTTTAGATGGAAATGATCCCCTGATCGCGTTCCACAGGGACAGGAATGTTTTGTCCAATTAGCCTCTATTCCACTCCTTCCTCTTCACTGTTTGCTAGAGCTTATGTATTTGCTCGTGTAACTGTTCTTACTACTGCCATACTACTCAAATGGCGGTTATGATTGTTTGATTCAAACTGGAGCTGAAAGTAACTCAACCCATTTTTATCAAAGAAAGTTACAAAACAGCAGCTCATGGAGAAAAAGTTTACAAGTCTGAGAATTGAGAATAAGCAAAATGCTTCCCTAATCACGTTGGTGCTAAACGTACACTAAGAAATAATAGGAGTCCGGCACAGCTGATGCCACACACAATGCATCCTGTCGACATGCTGTGAATCGTCTACCAACAGCGCACATCCGTTCTGCATTGTCCGATTCTAAAATCCCAACAACGAGAGGCACAGCTGATCGCGGCCACAATGCATCCTGTCGACATGCTGTGAATCGTCTACCAACAGCGCACATCCGTTCTGCATTGTCCGATTCTAAAATCCCAACCAACAACGAGATCGGCCATAGACTACAAAGGAAACTTGTATAAGGAACTACTTGAAGGTAACATGTTGGTTCGATGGAAACAATTTGACAGCCCCCAACCTGTTCCACTGTCGTTGGGGCTCATCAGAAACCCGCAGTCCCTGAGTTCCCCCAACCCTATGTTCTAGCTGAACCCACATAAGACAGATTATGTCGAATACACCGATTTGCATGCGAATTTAGTTGTGACAGAAGACCCAACTGATTCTCGTTTGTGATGGTCTAATTCAGTGGTGCATCAGGCTACCTAATGTTTCGGGTCTGGATTAATTTGAAGGACTGCACCGACTGTGTTTGCAAGATTGCGTGCACCATGCAAACTAGTGGGCAAAAAAATGTTCGGATAAACGAACAGAAGCTACGTTCAGATTGCACCAGGAAAAGTCAATGAACCAAACGGTTCGAAACGGAATTGAGCCATCTCAGTTCAAGTACTCGCCGAAGGTAGTTAAGTCAACTTTGATCATGTGCACATCCCACTCCGAATCTGTGACCGTTGGCAGTATATCGTGCGCCAACAGTTCTGACAGTATTCTGCCCTCTGGCCAGCATATCACATCGCGCTAAGTCAAATCAGGTAAGACAACCCGCACGTGGCCTGACATTTCAATCCCAGGGTCGACGGTTGTCAGTTGTACACGCACACAACCTCTGTGATATACGTGATATTTATGTTCATCACAGCCCCGCGACAACTTTTGTTTGGTCATTTGATTTTGACCGTTTTTTATCTGCTTTAACTTGGGTTAGTTTCTCCTCAGGAAGACAATTCTCGGTGGTCAAAAAGTCGGACTTTCTAAGGCCAGTGATTTGCTTTAGATAGGTCCTGATGTAAAAATAGCGTAGTTTCCCTGGTTTAGAACACAGCTCCTTGACCTTTTCCAAATTGCCCTGGTGCAGAATTTTGTGAGCAAAGTTCAATATCTTTGAGCGCACTATTCTGGCTACAAAAATTACAAAGTGAGCAATCAGCATGTCTAACTCAGTGAAGGAGTTCCCGTCGAACTGATTGCCGTTCTATCCACGCCAGATACATAAAAGTGAATATAGTTCACAAGGGTCCTGCTGGGACAAGTTTGAATGGACATGTGTGTTCGAAGTCCCACATCATACTACATCAGTTAGATAGTCATTTCCATGGGAACTTATGGTTCCACACTAGATAGTTTCTTTACCAGACTACAAACCAAAAAAGCAAAAAATCTAGGCCCAATTCATGCTGAAATGAGAACAAAGGCGCGACTAGGAATACTGAGAGAGAGGGAGAGTCGCAGTCACAACCAGGATATCCATGTATGGGTACCAACATTCATATGAGAAAGACAGGGACATATTTGTGCTTGATAAAATACACTCATTTGCAAATCAATCTGATGTTAACAGAAGACTCAAATGGATCATGATACTCTTCAACTGAATGCTTTGCCCGCCTGTTTATTTAGTTGGCGTTGCATTTAGGATATCGAAGCATATGATATTGATGTGATACACGATGCATAAGGCTTCAGAAAACGATTCAACATTGTAAAATGTGGTGCTTATGATCGAGCTTGTCTTTGTTTTTATGCAGTCGTGTGATTACTGACCTTGAAAATGTATACATTTTGCTCATCTTGGTTGTTTTGGTCCATACGGCTTATGCGTAACGACATTTTGATCATTACATAATTCATTCATGTGGCGTGGAACTTTGCACTTTGTTTTTGTCTTGTAAATGTGAAACTTTGAAAACAAGAAGGTCGTAGACTAATTCAAACTTTTGGAAATTTCATTCGGTACCAGATTAGAAGAAAACTGTTGTTTTAGTATATTTAGGTTGGCTTGCGCTCCGTTAAAATTGAATCTCCTCACCTACTTGTTGAGGCAAACCCGTGTTGACGCTAAACAATTGGAGTTGGTTTAAATGCGATTTTTTTCAATAACAGAACAGAGGAAATTTCGTCCCGTTCAGGTAAACCTATGTATAATTTCAAATCTACTTTACCAACTTTAACTTCGAATCTTAAATTCAAATTCAGCCTCGGATATTTTGGCCATGATAATCAGCTGCTCTCGGCCTCGATGGAATTTGCTTTTTGGCGTTCACGGGAGACGCTACTGAATATCAGCTAAACCTCTTGTCTATTCTAATCTAAAGGGACAGTCTCATGTTCTCTTTTGCAAGATACTTGAATATCAAAGTATTTCCCACAACCCAATACTGCTTCAAAGACCACCGGTTTCTCTTTTCTTGGTGCTTATCGGGTGGGGCCTAGCGCAGCAAAATAATGTATAAGAGCCGTATGACTTTGGTTAACTACAAGTTTGTGTTCACTTAGGAAATAAGGTTGCCGATGTCGTTTTCGAAGAAGTTTGGTAATAATAGGTAGATTTATTGCTGGGCAACGTTTCGCTTTTGACACGAAAGCTTCGTCAGGTTCCGAGGTTGGTCGAGATTTAAGGCGGAAGGAGAACCAATCAGCTAAGTCAAACTAAATCTGTCTTGAGTGTCGGCCGAGGGATTTTAGTGTGTTAGAGTGGTTGAACAAGTGTTGGGTCGGTGGGAAAACCCACATGTGTTTGGGTTCAGCATAGGGTCTAGTTCTTCTGGTTCGGTTCATTTGATGGTCCCTCTTGAACATCGTTTGAATCTTCTGTCCCTCTGTGTGGATGAGCTAGTGCTCAGATAGCTGTGACCTTTGGTCGGGTCGCGATTTCCACCCACACACCTCCGTTTTCGCTAATGATTCTACGTGGATTGACAACCACACAGTCACGTGTCAACTCGGCTTATCTAAGACCATTTTTCATGCGCTAGCCAGTTCCACACCCTCGATTCTATTCACGCTGTGATGCTTAGTAATTTCCACCGCCTCAGCTATCAGCCGCTGTGGTGTGAATCGCAGACCCCGCCTTTAAACTTCCTAATTCTCCAAATTCTATGTCCCGTGTCTCAGGCAGCAATAAATCTACCGATTGTCACCAAACTTTTTCGAAAACGATGACTACCCAATCGGTTCTAAGTATTTTTCACGTGATTGAAGGTTGCCGATACTTCAGATATTATGCATACTTGATGAGTTTCAAAGAGAAACAAAGAGAAGTAGTTCGTCGTTGACAATTTTCAATGTTCTGATTATCGGGAAACTGCTTCCGTTGTCTGATGAATTTTATGAGAAATATCAAGACATTCACAAATTTTTTCTTATCGAGCACTTAGTGCCGGCCTCGTAAGCTTCATCAAATTGCACAAGACGACTTAGCTCATCTTGCCTGTCCAAATGTGAGTGCACTTTGCCGCCAAATATGGCACACAATCACGTGAACACCAAGTAACAAGGATCTCTGTATATGTTAATCTTATAGCGAAATGCATCCATGTCACATCTGTCAGTGCGGATATGCCAAGTGTGATAAATCTGGCAAGGCTGCTCCTATTCCATCAAGTTTTCTGTAGTAAAACAGAACGCTACTGAATGATCCCGAGAATCTGGGTACACAGTTTCCAGCTTACCCAAGCAGCACATGTTCCGTTATAAATTTTTAGTGGCTACTGGTATTTTAGGTTCTTAAGTCTCGCTACGTTTCGCACGGCCAGTTTGAACACTAAACTGTGCACACGTGAAATAAACACTTGGTATAACCTGTCACATCCTGCTGTTCGTCGGTCACTGTACCGTTTTTCCTCATAATAGATAAAGACTTTTTGCACCTTGCCGCAGACTCCCGAGTGTTCTTTCATTCGCTCAAAAACTGTGAAAGATATTGGTAGTTCCACCTCCGACGAGTCATTATTGCATCCCATCCTGAAATACTCCAGAACTGTTGGTGGCCTGAGGATTCTTATGGAAAAGTAAGAGGTTGATGACGAAGCTGGTCTCTTTACATGACGTATTTCACCACAAGATCAACGTGAACAGGCCAAAAAGGCTTCGGAAAATGCTTGTCCCATGGTAGCACTGAACTCAGTAGTTTTTTAAAGGCACTACATTCTGACGGAGCTTTATGTTTACTGATTTGTTTTTATAACTTAAGTGCTGGTATCAATCCAGAAAAGTGTACATTTGAATATGTAACCAATCGGCCGCATGTGGTGTTTTTCCTTTCCTCGAGGATACCATGGAAGTAGGACCAGAAGTCGGTTCCTTGCAGCTTGGCTACGAAATTCACAACTGCGTCGGAACCGTTGTTTATTAACTTTTCTCCATAGAGGATTCACCTCTTCAAACGA